TTTTTTGAAGATCCGCATTACGTTATACAAATTAACTTCATACATCTCAACCGACAACTCAACCTTTCAAAAATTTTATTTTGCCTTGTTATCGTCATATTACATTACAAATACACACTATAATTGGAATTAGTTGTTGCAACGTCAAATAAGCGTTGAGCTCTTTTAATTTCAAGTCAACTTAGTCGAGTTGTAAATCATAATATGGTTATTTGTTTATCAATTTTAATTTATCTTTAATATTACTTACTTTTCAAGCAATAAATTCACCTAACAGTCAATTGCCTAGAGCCACTGAAAAATTATTTTACTAGCGATACAACTTTTTGGTATTTTTTCGTTTTTGATGATTTTCTTATATTATCTAAAACTCAACAATTATTGTCATGTAGGCTGGATGCGCCATTTTTCATATCTTTCACAACCTTAAATAAACAAATGAATAATTACAAGCATACTCTTACATTGTATATTGTTATGTATATGCATTGGTTAGATGAYATGAAGGATGTATGTATGTACGCAAATGTTATGAACGTTAATGTTGGCATGGTATTACGAATTTCACACAAAAACAGCAAGTTTGCGGCCAATACCGGAGATCAAAACTTGTGAAACTGATGTTAAAAGTCACAAGTTAGGGTCTCAGGGAATCAGCCATACAAACACATCTTAACGCAAAACAAAAAACAACTTAACTATTATATATAGCATACGTATGTATGTATTATAATTAAACAACAACACTATGCGAGCATTACATACAGGCTATTAGCTGCTCATTACAAAAAATATCGCAAAAAATTTCAAAAATTTATTGAATGATTTTTAAGCACTTTTCAATTACGGTTATGGTTTGTAGAGAGTCTCCTTTTCATTTATTTATTTTTTCACGTTTTCAGCTTTTTGCACACTTGAAACCGCTGCTTGGTGTCAAGCAAAGAAAGCTAGCACGTTGTATAGCATGCCGTTAATACTACTATACAACCTACTACCTCAATTTGCCAGAGAAATGTTAAACTACTGGAACCAACCCGCCCACAGCCCACTAACTGAATGTCCGCAAAAGTTAGGTTTTTCTAACGGGGCATAAACCTTGCTTTACTTTCTCTTTTTTGACATTTGTCCTTTGTTTTTTTGGTTCCTTCAACACGTTGTTTACATTGACAGACTCCCATAATGCCGGTCTTGCAACACAAACAACAGCACAAGTTCGGATTTACGGGTTTCTGTTAATGGTCCATAAACAAGTATGCACCATTCTGTTTCAAGTTGTATTCTTAGTTGTCCATTTGGTTGAACGTTTTTGTAGGTTTCTTTGTCTGCTTTACAAGTATATTTGCAAGTAATTCAGGAGATTTTTGTTCCAGATTATTATCTTATAGGCGAACACTGTATGTTGCTGAGATCTGTGTTGAATACTACCTGGAACTGAGTTCCGATTTTAGAGAAAGGAATTTGTTAATTTTTTGTAGGAATTCAATTGAGAACTTTACACAAAAAATTGTCGTTTTCGCTGTATAGACAATAGTGTGTCACAGTACAAAATATATCTATATGGAACTGAAAGAAATTAATAACCAGTTCTTATAAGAATTTGTGAATGTCCACATAGGTTGGAAACAATCGTCGGAGATATGATTGTCGCTTTTAAGGCGACAAACGTTGTTTGTATTAATGCTTAGTATATAACCTCACCTCAAAAGAGCAATCACGACTTTTCGGAAATTACAAGACCCAGTCAAACGGAATTTTCTAAATTCTTTTTACCTTCATGATGTCGATTTATACTAACTTATACTCGTACAACGTCATAAACGATCAACGTAGTATAGTATTTAGAGATCCGAATTCTCATTATGATGAAGAAAATATTTAAAAAACAAAAAACTAGTTTCATCGAATAATTCTTGTTCTTTCTCGTATATCCTCACCAGAGTAATGCTTTCATGATAAACGTCAACATAAAATTCTTTTGTTGGCCTCCTTGAATCTTCTTGACCTTTCACTTGACAAACAATATACCAAAAATTGCAGAAACAAACGTTTATCGACGTTATAAATACCAATTAGCATGCTTCTTTTATACAGTTCTAAGCAATCTGAGGAGTTTACGTTGTAGGAAGATGAACTTGGTTTCAAAAATATGCTGGTACTAAGCTTTCGAATACTGAGAGCAGTGCCACTTCCGTCATCTGGAAACAATAAAGAATATATTATGATTATCCGAATACCTTATATAATATTAAACAACTAATACTTATAACAATTGTTAATCCCTAGTAAAAGTTAATGCATAAAGCAGCCCTTGAAGCCTTGAATTATGCGGGCCCCATTCTTCCTTCTTAATTTATGCAAATCTGAGACAATTCAGTGAACCACATCTATGAACAGTATCCTAATTTAAAAACCTGAAAGTAAAAAAAAAAAATATACTATATTAATAATGTTTGTTAAATCTATTTGAATACCAAAAAAATCTTAAGAAGTGTATATGTTATCGATTTTACACCTTTATGAGTATATATTGAGATTTTTCTTAAAAAAAAAAAAAAAACAACTCTTATAATGGGTTCATATAATATCTCAAGAATTATAACTAAATTCCTCAAACCCTGAAAACTAAAAGCTTGTCTCTTCTAACAAACATTTTTCCCTAGAATCATCTAAGCATAGAAATATACATATGTATATACATAACTACAAATAACTATGCACCCATAAAAATAACCGAATAATCCTTGCTCCATTCATTGTTGCAACACACTTGTGTGACTGCACATTTGTTGCAACTGTTGATGTTTCTATTACGGCAATAGAAGTCACATTAGCAACATTGTTGCACAGCTATGTTTGACAACATAACATTGACATTAGACTGAATGTTTGGCTACATTGTAGCGCTGAGTGCCTGTGTAGTCTGTGTAGGAACATATATTTTTATGTGTCTGCAACAAAGTCTGTAAATGTGCTGTAGCCGACTATACACCATAAATGAAAATGTGAGGAAATATGAATTTTTGTTGTAATTTCGTAGAGATGGCAAAAAGCGCAAGGAAATTAGAGAGCAAAAACAATGGTTGGAAATATCTGATTGAGTTGGGTAATAATAAAGAAATTGTTCTTTGTTTATAGTTTAGGGCATATGTATGTATACATTTATAATTTATATTAATATACATATGTAGATGTATTCATAATTACTTAGCTTCATGTATAATTATTACATCTGTATTCAAATATATATAAAACTGGAATTTGACTTTATCATTAAAGCGCGACTTACGTGATAAATATTGCTATACAATCAGTAATATTACTGGTGTGTCAGATTTATAATGAAAATGTATACATGTGGAATAATATGTCTTTCACATCAAAGATCAGCATACGCTTTCTTTATATTTGATACCATAGTGCCTTTATGATTCAGGTATCTTCACTGCAACACAAATTGAACTAAAACTATAATAATACTGGTTTTTGTATCCTGACACTTACACGAAAAGTTATTGAGACATAACTCTAACCCTCTATAGAAATATAGTACTAAAACTTACATATCACTAACGATTAATAAAAAAGGATTCTTAATTTTATATGACTTATGATCTAACCTCCAAAGAGAAATCACTATATTTCGGAAATTTTAAATAGATGACATTTTTACGGTTTCATCAGAGGAGATGGGAATAGGAATAGAAAAACTGTATAGTATGTTCTTTCTTAAATTCCAAAAATCGCTATTTTTTGGCTGTGGTACGGGTGTGTTCCTTAATATTTCCTATCTATGAACTTTTTTTTAGCAATGAAATCCAGAGGATATGTTATACAAATTTTTATTTAATCTAGAAGAAAGAGTTAGGTTAGTCTAGCATTAACACAAAAAATTTCCTGTTCAATCCGTTATCTTATATAATAGTGTGCGAGCTTTCGTGTCTGTTAGTTTAAGGAGAGAACATAAAACAATAAGATGGAGCAAATCGAATTTTGTATGATGCTCGATTGGTGAAATAAGTCAAAAAGGACTGTTCACATACAGAGGATCAGAGAAAGATCAGAGGATGCACCTTCTCATTCTTCTCACTTCAAAGCACTTTTCTCGTAACTGCATTTTTTAAATAAGTCGATGATGGCCCTTAAGACTAAATTAGTCAGATCGGACTATTATAGCATATAGGTGTCATAGAAACTGAATTATCAGAAACAAGTGGTTGTATGGAAAACTTTTTAATTTGATGAGATATTTTCAAAAAATTTGGTAATTATAATCTCAGAAGAATTTGTTCAGATTGAACCACTAAAATATATAGCTGCCATACAAACTGAACGACCAAATTTACATTTTGTATGAAAAACTCTTTCATTTGACGAGGTATCTCAAAAAAAATTATGCTAAGATAAAAATCAGAATAAACATATTATTTTATGTTATAAAAAATGCAACTGTTAATATTAGCGTTATTTTTTGTTTAGAATTATATTGAACAAAGTTGTGAAATGCCTACTATGCCCGTTTAAAATGATTGTTGCAGGAACCATCGGCAATCTAAGAAAACAGATGACTGTGTTTACAAGCATATGTAAAACGAAGAACTTTTGTATACATAAATACATAGTTAAGCTCATACACATGTGCACAGTGCAGGTATGTATATAGGTATATATATATATATATATATATACTATATATTTGTAAAAAGCATAGCAATTTATGAATAATCATAAGAATTGTGCATCTACACATATTTACGAACTTTTATTTACATTATATGCATATATAATTACGAATACATATACATATATACACAAAGTAAACACATATATGTGAACATTAACACGCGTATGCAAATAAGTTCATTGATTTAAATTTTCAGTGTAGAACTCTTGCTATTATCTACACGTAAACACACAGGCACACATACACACATTCACATAAATGCTTGTTTGCACTGTTTTTAGTATATTATCACCTGATTTACTATGCACAACTATATATTAATAAACATAAAACAAATAGCTATAAATTGCTCTTCGGTTTATGGCTGATTGTAAAAATTTATATTAGTATTTATGCACAAACACACACACAGCCAAAGCGTTAATTATTTACAAGACTTTACGCCACTTTCCTTAATATTGTTTATGTACATATATGATAAACAAATTAATTTTTGTGGTCTTATTTTATTGTTTTTGTTCTCTTAGTTATTTTTTTCATTTTAGTAGATTTTT